TCTTCCGGCAAATTATCTTAGGTTTTATCTAATGTAATTGATAAGATCATCACGTACAGACTATCGACAATTGAAAATGAAATAATGAACTATGAAAATTATCTCAAATTATTAAATTTTTAATTAACGTAATCAACAAATCTTTAGACTAAAAAGGTATATTCTGAGAAATAATCAAATTTGGATCTCTCGTTATTGTAAGCACTAATTAGTTAAACAAATTTGACAAATAAATAATAATAAATCTGGCTGACGGGAGGCCTGTACAAACTGTATAAAGAATGATGGAATGATGACAATTTCAAAGATTAAACTCAGAAAAAAATGCGTGTTCTTATATTAATTACTGTCAAATATTAACACAAACAATTAACTAAAACTGTTATAATCTATTAATGTAACAAGTTGTCATGAAAAATCTAATTAACTCCATTTTGATTATTTTGCTTGAATAATTGGACTTAACTCCTTAAATTTTTCTTCGAAAACAATAAATTCAGGCAGCATACATTTATTTATTTCGCTGGTAACTTAATTGAGAAATTAATAAATAGACCTCTCTAAAACTTTAAAAATATTCTACCTAATAATCAAAAACATATCTGTTTACAAACCGTTTAACATTAATTTTTACAGTTATTATTTTATATTATCCGTGGGGAAAATATATTTGGAAAACAGTAAAATATATTTACATAAGAAAAAATAACGTAAATCGCCTCATATTTTCAGGAAATTAACGTTTCATTCCTCAAATAATATATTCATGTAACACTACATTATAGTGACAAACCATAGTATTCGAACAGTTGCGGTACTCAACCAGCCCCTTGACATTAAAAAAGGAATAGGAAGTGGCTGTACAATTGTGGTTTAGGAACGTGGAGTAAGATTGCAATTAAATTCTGAAAACACCTAACCGCTATTGGAAAGCATATAAGAGATCACGTCAAAGCATTCCTTAGGAGATGAGAAGTTATGAAATTAAAAAAAAAAAAAGGATTTTATTATTTTTAATATTGAAAATATCCATAAATTACAACTTGTTAAGGATTGGTAGGTTATTGTAAGAGGTATTTTTTTACATCCTACTTTCTTTATTAAGTCCAAAAAAGCTCATTGAGTCTAATAAAAAGTTTCCTAAAAAAAGAGTATCCGAATTTTTCCGGATATTTTTAGAATCCATCTTCACTTAAACATTTAGTGATGTTGGTTTAGAGTCAAAAATAGCATACAGCGGATAATTTTGTACATACTTCTGTACCAATAAATGGCAATAATATCTCAGTCCCCCCTCCAAAAAAAAAATAAGAATGATAATATAAATTCGTTTCACACTCGGAAAGCTTAGAGATGTAAAATGCTGAGGTTATCAATGCCTATGTAATTGAAAGGATTAACAGCGAACGCACATATTGATAGCGAATTCCCGAGTTCTTCAAGCGTTTATTTATTTTATTTTAATTTATAAACAAAAATTGTAGTTCTATGTCCGTACCACCAATTACTAATTTCCATTCGTTTGTACTTTTAGTAAACGCATCCGTAATCTAAAGCTAAAAACTATAAGGGAAGGAGATAGTTCGGGGTGGCGGTCATAAATAGGCTCAATAGTAGTAAAACTATTTCATTAAAAGCCAATGTTTCGACCCGACTTTGCAGGTCTTCTTCAGGGAGGTGTGTTCAGCTAGTTATTTCACTAAGAACTCAATTGGAGTTCATTCGTGATTTCATAGCGATTTATTGCTAAAACATGATGCGCTCCTTTTTCATGATTTGAAATCTGTGTGTTATAAATATAATAAAAATATACTATCTGTAATACATTTACAGTATAAAAATATGCTATCTAAATATACTATTATACTTGCTGATGAATTTCGATGCTCCAGATAGTATATTTTTAATTTATTTATAACACATAAATTTAAAATACCATCAGGCTTTAGCCATAAATCGCTTTAAAAGTATGGAATTTAAACTTTGAAGATGGGAATAATTTTCAACTTTAATGGGAATAAACGTCAACATGACATGTAATTCAACAAATAAAAAAATTGTTTGTATGCCTAGGAGTTTTTATTGCCAAAAGTGAAGAGTATTATACAGCTTTCTAGTAAAAAAGAAGAATAAAATAGACATTTTATCGTAGAATGGTAGAAAAATAAGTAGTTATTTTTTTAGAGATCCTACTTATTAATTGCAAAAAAAAATAATTTCTTAGAATCCAAAAAAAAATGTAGGGTTCCGTTCTACTTTCGCTACTAAGGTTTTTACCATTTTTTGTACCCTTCCTTATTTGAACGCTTACTGCAGGAGCTACAAGAAGTATGCTCAGAGTAAAAAAAAATAGCATATAGGAGTTTTAAATCACACTCCTGTTTCAAATTACGGGGAAAAACAATCATTTTGAGCAATAGGTTTCAATTTCATGATTAAATAAAAGATCTCGGGGAATTGGATTTTGAAATAATTTGGTGTAGCGATCGTAGGTATCTACGAGGAATCTCTAAGTTATCCAATATATTATTTATTTAACTTAATCTAATTAGCTAACCTGGTAGTTCGATCCGTATATTGCCAACTACTGTTTACCAACTTCCTTACATTTATAACGTATACATCCTGTATGCCTTATCCAAAGCTACATGTATGAGATCAGTTATAAAACACTTTGCTATTAGAATTCGTTACTTTTCTCAACAATAAGATAAAGAATAAAAATAAATAAATACATATGTATATATATATATATATATATATATATATATATATATATATATATATATATTGGATTTCCTAGAATCCCAAAAAAAAAATTGTTAGGGTTCCGTTCTACTTTTGCTACTTAGGTGTTTACCATTTTTTTTACCCTTCATTATTTAAACACTTACTGAAGTAGCTACAAGAAGTAAGCTTAGAGTAAACAAATAGCATATAGGAATTTTAATCACACTCCTGCTTCAAATGACGGCAATAATAATTCAGTTTGAGCAATAGGTTTCAATTTCATGATTAAATAAAAGATCTAGGGGATTTGGATTTTGAAATAATTTGGTATACAGATTGTAGGCATCTACGAGAAATCTCTAGGTTATTCAATATCTTATTTATTCAACTTAAGCTAATTGGCTAACCTGGTAGTCCGATCCGTATATTAACAACTACTGTTCACCAACTTTCTGACATTTATAACGTATACATCCTGCATCCTGTATGCCTTATCCAAAGCTACAAGTATAAGAAGATCAGTTATAAAACGCTTTGCTAGTATAATTCGTTACTCTTCTCAACATTAAAATTTAAAAAAAAAAAAAAAAAAAGTATATATATATATATATATATATATATATATATATATATATATATATATATATATATACATATATAAATATATATAGAGAGAGAGGGAGAGAGAGAGAGATCCTACTTTCTTTATTAATTAAAAAATAATAATTTCTTAGAATCCAAAAAAAAAATTGTTAGGGTTTCGTTCTACTTTTGCTACTTAGGTTTTTACAATTTTTTGTACCCTTGCTTATTTAAACACTTACTGAAGTAGCTACAAGAAATAAGCTTAGAGTAAAAAAAAAAAATGCATTTAGGAGTTCTTAATCACACTCCTGTTTCAAATCAAGGCAATAATAATTCAGTTTGAGCAACAGGTTTCAATTTCATGATTAAATAAAAGATCTCGGGGAATTGGATTTTGAAATAATTTGGTGTAGCGATCGTAGGTATCTACGAGGAATCTCTAGGTTATCCAATATATTATTTATTTAACTTAATCTAATTAGCTAACCTGTTAGTTCGATCCGTATATTGCCAACTACTGTTTACCAACTTTCTTACATTTATAACGTATACATCCTGTATGCCTTATCCAAAGCTACAAGTATGAGATCAGTCATAAAACGCTTTGCTATTAGAATTCGTTACTTTTCTCAACAATAACATAAAAAATAAAAATAAATAAATAAATATATATATATTGGATTTCCTAGAATCCAAAAAAAAAATTGTTAGGGTTCCGTTCTACTTTTGCTACTTAGGTGTTTACCATTTTTTGTACCCTTCATTATTTAAACAGTTACTGAAGTAGCTACAAGAAGTAAGCTTAGAGTAAACAAATAGCATATAGGAGTTTTAATCACACTCCTGCTTCAAATGACGGCAATAATAATTCAGTTTGAGCAATAGGTTTCAATTTCATGATTAAATAAAAGATCTCGGGGAATTGGATTTTGAGATAATTTGGTATACAGATTGTAGGCATCTACGAGAAATCTCTAAGTTATTCAATATCTTATTTATTCAACTTAAGCTAATTGGCTAACCTGATAGTCCGATCCGTATATTGACAACTACTGTTCACCAACTTTCTGACATTTATAACGTATACATCCTGTATGCCTTATCCAAAGCTACAAGTATAAGATCAGTTACAAAACTCTTCGCTATTAGAATTCGTTACTTTTTTTCAATATTAAAAGTAAAAAAGTAAATATATATATATATATATATATATATATAATATATATATATATATATATATATATATATATATATATATATATATATATATATAGAGAGAGAGAGAGAGAGAGAGAGAGAGAGAGATCCTACTATCTTTATTAATTAAAAAAAAAAATTTCCTAGAATCCAAAAAAATTGTTAGGGTTTCGTTCTACTTTTGCTACTAAGGTTTTTACCATTTTTTGTACCCTTCCTTATTTAAACACTTACTGAAGTAACTACAATAAATAAGCATAGTATAATAGCATATAGGAGTTATTTATACATATATATATATATATATATATATATATATATATATATATATATATATATATATATATATATATATATACATATAAAGTCTTTAAATCGGTCTCCTACGATAACCGCAATGAAGATTAATTTAATCGGAAACCTACGCATTATCATCGAGTTGAACCAATCCTGGATACCAACGCGAAGGGGGAAGGGCGAGAGGAAGGGGAGGGGCGTTGAGCGGCAGTCAGTGTGTGCCAGTGATGTGAAGTGATGACTGCTGAGGGCTGCCGGCTTCTGGCCATTCGTAGCCTAGGGTCGGGGGGGCTTTGCCCCCTGCCTCCCCCCGTACCGCCGAGGAGGCAAAGGGCCATCGACAGGATGTCCCGCAGAAGGCTTATCATGACGAGGGGATCTTCTTTACCGAGGGTAAGTTCCAACACAAAATTCTTTATTGATAAGCCAGATGAATGCCACTGTTATCTACATGATCAATTAAAACTTTCCTATATTTTGATTCGGCCATATAATATCGAAAAAAAAAAGACAATTTATACCTGATAAAATATACTTGAAAGCATCAGCATCAAAAGAAAATAAATGGACAACTATTTTAATAAAAAAAAAGAAATGTTCCTAATAATTTAGAGTGAAGTTACCAATGGTTTGGCAATAATAATTATTTTCTCCTTAATCATTGGTCATAAGTAGAATTTAGTTTTGTTTTTTATCATTTTTATTTATACGTTTCAGATATTACACATTAAAATTCATGTAAATGTAGAAACATTGTTCCGTTCCCATTACATTTGTTTTGTTTTTTAATTTTTGCTGAATCGGAAGGCAATAATTATTCATTAGTTTGTACTGTTCACCATTCTTCTTTAGTTCATATTTTCTACTCACTTCTTGTCCTTAAGACTAGTTTAACAGAAAATAAACAGAAGTAATTTATATATATTTTTTTAATGTAATAATTTATATTTATATGTTTTAGGGATGGTTTATCTCTCCCCCCTCTCTCCATTAAGCATGGAGAGTACAACACATTATTTTATTTAACAATAATATATTATTTATATAATTTTAGATCCTAAATTAAACCATCGCCGAAACGGTTTAATAAAAAAAAAAACATCGAAAATTACGAGTCTTAATTTTATTTAATTAGACTTGTAGACCAAGAATGATGATAAAATAATTATTACAAAATTATTTGGTAGTTTCGAGGATGCTTGAATTCATTATCTATATTTATATAAATATTACATTACAGGTAAATTTAATAATGTATTTAAACATTGCATATAACTCGAAATTGAAGACAAAGCTCTATACAAATAAAACAACGGTATCGAAAAAATATTGAAATAAATTAAACAAACATACTTAATAAATTAAAATTAAGAAAAATGATCGTCGCTCATGGCAGTCGAAGCGACGTTAAAAAATTGAAGATTCGTATATTGGTTCAATATAGAACCCGTAATGGATTTATATAATGCTAGATAATGAATTCAAGAATCCACAAAACTACTAAATAAAACATTTAAAAAAAACACTAAATTATTGTACACTGAAATTTTAAAATAATTTTGCAATAATTATTTTATCCTCATTCTTGGTCTACAAGTCTAATTCAATAAAATTAAGACTCGTAAATTTCAATGTATTTTTTAGTCAACCGTTTCGGTGATGGTTTAATTAAGAATCTAAAACTATATAAATTATATATTATTGTTAAATTAAATAATGTGTTATACATGTAGTGCTAGACGTTTAATGGAGATGGAGAGATAAACCATCCCCAAAACACATAAATATAAATTATTACATTAAAAAAAATATATAAATTACTTCTGTTTATTATCTGTTAAACTAGTCTTAAGGACAAGAAGTGAGTAGAAAATATGAATTAAAGAAGAATGGTGAACAGTACAAACTAATGAATAATTATAGCCTTCCAATTCAGCAAAAATTCAAAAAACAAAACAAATGTAATGAGAACGGAACAATTTTTCTACACTTACATGAATTTTAATGTGTAATAAATATCTAAGTTTGTTCTAGTTTTAAAGAAAACATACGACCCAATTAGAGTACTTTTATCCTTCTTCTTTTCTAGTTTCTGCAATCATATTTAAAGTTTCATTTTTTTTTTTTTTAAATAGTCCATTTTGCTACGATTTAAAATTTGAGTAGCAGAAAATTTTCAGGCTTTGCCACTATCTTGAAAAAAAAAAACAATATACAATCAAATTAATGTGATGCTTATTGTTGATAAAATAGAGTATTTTTTTTATAAAATGATTTCATTAATATTAAGTTAAAAACATTACATTAATGAAATTATTTACACGATTGTTAATTTACTAACATAAAAATAAAATTGACTCAACATCCATGCTAATGTATAAAAAATAAGATATAATATATTATTCACCTACATTCAGGAAGGCGTAGAAAACGAAGTGGAAAAAGCTGTTTTCCCTATATTCCATTTTCCTTTCCAATCTCGTGTTTTTTCGGTATTAGAAACAGATCGATGGTTAAAAAAAAAGGGAAACTTCGAAGTCCTGACATTGATCCATAAAGGAGGACCATGTATGTTTCTTAAGATATGTTGTTTATTAGGCTCAATTTACTTACTATAAGCTCTAATTATTATACTAAAAAAGAGAATTAATTTTGACATAAGCCTAGGCGAGACCGATGAGGAATTTAAATTATGATATCGGGACTAAAGATCGGTACTCGACTCAAAGATTATTAAATTACTTTAAAAAAAATAAATAGTATCAATAATTAGGCTCCTTTCTACGAGAATTTAATAAGCGTTTATCGAATACTGCAATTCCAAAATTTGGTATGAGGTCTATTGAGAACAAATTCGGATCTCAAAAAGAAGCAATAGTAGCATTTTTAATACTTATTAACTCTATGTTCACCGGTAAATGAGATGTTAAAAAAAAAAAAAATAAAACGCAATGTCTTCCTAATTATGTTGGATTGCAATACCAATATTAATTATATAGTTCAACAGTTATGCAAAACATTCAGTATAAATTTATATATTATTTGGACCACTCGTTTAGATGTTATCTAAAATATGTACTATAAAATATAGAAATTCTAGACTAATACTTATCAGGAATCATAATTTCAATTCAAATATTACAGAAAACACATCTCGGACTATACTTGGACAAAAAACTCACCTGGAACATTCACACTAAATTAAAAAAACAAGAACTGACCAGACGATACAAACAACTGTCACATCTTTTAGACTACAGATCTCCACTCAAATTACTAAACAAGCGACTAATCTACACCACTATACTAAGACCTATTTGGACATACGGAGCAGAACTTTGGGGTTCCGCAAAACACACACACATCAACAAAATTCAAACCACACAATCCAAAATACTCCGTAAAATTGTCAATGCTCCTTGGTTTATTTCAAATCACACCATACACAAAGACATGAACATACCAAAAGTAAAATCCTACATACACAACAAATACACAACATTTCACACTTCTACTCTCAATCATCCAAATCCACTCGTTCTATCTCTATCTTCCTCCCTGTTACCTGGTGAGCCTCAAAGACGACTAAAAAGGCAGTGGCCTAGAGATCAGTTGAAAAGTTAAGAAGATATCAGAAATCAAGAAGATATAATTAACGCCAACACATTTGCTTGATGCGTTCCAACGCAGTGGCAAATTTAAAATAACAAAATAAAATAAAAAAAATAAAAATATTACAGAAAATGAAACCGGAAAAATGGAGTAATATGTTCGTCAATTTGTTATCTTAAATCAAAGTAAATAATTTTCATAAGTAATCAGTTGGACGATAATATATATCAAAAGGTCGTATGTAAAAATTGAGATTTGTTTACAGAGGAACATAAAAACTAATTATTTATTTTTGATTAGTTAGTATAATTTCATATTTTATTTCAGTATTGCAGTTGCTGACTACAAAATATCAACTTTAGCACAAATAGAATAAACGTGGAGAGTTGTAACGTACGGCTTTTGCACAAACAGTAGCGATATTTCTAATTTATTAAAACCGTTTTAGCAAGAGTGTTTTATTTTAAGTTTCATATTCTATTTTAACGTACAAAAATGTTACATAAGACAAATTAAGCATAAAATTAAATAGATAATTTTAATTTTCAACAGAATATCTAACTTACGAGTAGATCATGTAATGATTACAAATAAAGTTGTAATTTGAATATGCTTTTATTTTTAGATAAAAATTTATTTTTAAAATTGAGATTTACATGACTGCGAGTACTTATAAGCTGAAATGTATTAACTTAAAAAAATCAACTACTGGAATCTACATGATTCAATGAATTGTTTTTAAACAAAAAATCGCTTTACTACCACCGGGTGATAAGATTCTTTATTTATTTAAATTTACAATATTAAACTAAAATAAGAATTTAAAAAAAATTATCCGTTTTCCCTATTCGAGGGACCGAATTCGCTTTAATTGTATTAAAAATGTTAGTTCTGTATAATAAATGAAATTATTACAATAAAAAGTTATATAATATGCAAGTCAGTTTCAGTTGTAACAATTTCGTTTCTACATTTTTGTTATCTTGATTAGAGTGAAGCTTTACAATTTTTATCCAAGAATGCAATTCAGAACGACATTAATCTTTTGAACAATGAATTCGACTAAAATGTTCAATGGAGTGATACTGGCCCAAGAATCACATAATGGCTTTAACACAAATTACCTTAGTTTTATTATTACAATAGGCTGAAGAACCTTCAAAAAATCTTTATGATTTGGTGATTGATAAAATTATTAGACTTAATGGAAAAAAAAATCAGAATTAAACGATACTCCCATACTTTTAAAAAAATTTCAACTAAGTTAGCCAATTAAGCTAGTTAAATGTTATGAAATAATTTTATAACAAAACATATTTTAATATATACCAATGCATATCCCGCATCCCTCACCAATGTATTTATAATAATGTATGTACCCATTCATTAAAATGTTATTTATTTTAACATGTTCATTATGCTAGCAAGTTCTTAATAAATAATTCTTCAATCTGAAAAATCATTTAAAGTCGTACTGCTCAAATGTCAAAATATTCTTACTAATTCATTTGTAATTAATGATTGTTAACCTAGTTCTGTTTAGACATCAAACCGTTTGAATGTTTGTTAATCTTGACACACAGATCACCCTATTAACATCACCTCAGAAAACATAAAATATAATTGACTTAAATCGCTTCTTTTAATATAATATTAATATTTATTAACTTCAACATTGTTTTTTTATCTGAATGTTTGGTCGCATTCAATCGAGAAACTTTTTTTTTAAAGGAAAAATTGCATATTTAATTTAATCCTCGATCGGATAGGAATGCATTTCC